AATAATGCGTGGCAGCCGCACCTACCAGTACCTCCAGGGCACTCGATCAAAACACTTCTCGATGTCCACAATTGCTTGAACTGTGGTGTGGCTGTCTGCGTTCTGAATAGATACGGCTTCAACCTGTACTAGAAGTCGCGCAACCACGTCAGTGGTCGGCTTCTGCGCCCCCGGCGCCAAATGCGGCCTCCCCAGACTTGATGTCCAAGACCGTATCCAATTAAGGCTGGCCTTGCCCCACAACCAATAAGCCGAGGTAAGTAGGGCTATGGGGCGGTGCCCGCCAGTGGGCTTGGCTAGGACAACAATGTGGGTGCCGTGCATGAGCGCAGGCCAGGTATCTCCATAATCACATGCATGTATGATGTCGCCTAGGAGCGAGCGGCCGCCGGTGGAGACGAGGGCCCAGCGTCGCGGCCTGAACCTGTCCGACCCAACTGCAGTGCTTCAAGGAAACCTCGGGGCAGCCCTGCGAAGATCTGATGTCCGCGCAGGTGGATATCGAGGCCCTTGCTCCAGAAGATCCTGCAGGCCCCCCAGGAAGTTGTCGTCTGGCGTCTCCTGGACCCCCGAGACGCAGTCAGGGCCTCGTCAAGGCCATCCCAAATCTTGGCCCACAACTTCCGCTGGGAGTCAGCCGTGTCCATGGGGGGACTTGAGGGGCCACTAGGGGTATCCACATGCGAGAGTTGCCATCCCTGCGGCTTCGCCCATCGGTGCACTGCGCCAGGCGATTGTACCAGAGACTTACTTACCCATGCGCGGAACGTCTTTGCGCGCTGCTGGGCTAGCTGGCTCTCAATATCTTCTGCCTGCTTCCCGAGAAAGGTGTGAAATAACAGCGGCATGTGCGGGGGTTGAGCAATGATACGTACCAGATAATGCACGACATCATCCAAAACATGCTGCGCAATGTGCTTACGAAGCTTGCGATTGGCCCCCGCCCCCCAATAAAGTCAACCATGCGCGCCCAATCATGCACATGTTCGTCATGCGATGCGTGCTGGCAGCGCCTCTGAGGATCCAGAATGCGAACCTGAAGAGTACGAAGGGTCCTGGATTGCGTCGTGCCCGCTGGCTGCTGCCGTGCCAAGACCCCCCCCGGTTGAATATAGATACTGCGGGCCCTCGCTGCGCCCGCGATATTCAGACCCGGGCTTTGCGAGCTGGAAGATCGGGCACCACTCATTCTCATCCCCCATGTACAGAGTAGGTGCCAGTGAGTTGTGTCACTCAAGGCGCTCGCCAGGAGCTCCAAAGCCTTTAGCAGAGTCCTTCTGCATGGTGCCTGTCCAGCCAATTCCTGAGTCTCCCCGCTGATCATACAATGGTTCTCCATCTCGAGCTTCGGCGCCCTGAGTAGCTGGGAGAGGCTGCATTGGGGAAGCGTGCGGTCCCTTCAACGGCCTTGCTCGCTGAGCCCTCGGACGCACCCCCAAGGTGGCCTGAATCGGGTAGTGCTGACGAGGGGGAAATCCTGGAACTCGATCGGGAGTGGACATCTCGGCTGCGAGACAATTACTAGCAAGCCAGGAATCCAATGTAGACGCGTCGCCTGTGCCAGGGCCCCGATAGGTACCAAGAGCGGGCTCCGCCACTCGAAATACATCAGGGTGAACATTCCAATCTCCAGAGATCGAGAACGACAAAGAGTAACACCTAAGACATTCACCAGGACGGGTCAGCAGGGCGGCGTTGCTCCCTTCGAGGCGCGAGCCTTGTTCGAGATCGACAAATCCGACAATTAATCCACCTCGTAGTCCTGTCTGTGCCTGCGTGCGCACCAAATGACCTGGCAAGATGGCGTGTGACCTCGCGATCGTAGTCAATGGCGCGGCACTGATGTGTGAGCGAATGAACATACCAACTCCTCCAGTGGGCTTCTGGCGTGTAGACTGCGTAGCATCGCTGATGAAGGCCTGCCATTCCCGCCTACGACACCACTCTTCAGCTAATGCACGCTACTTTCTCGCCAAAGACGTGCAGCTTTTGGCCAGTGACAAGAAGCGCTTGACAGTGCCGAAGGAAGTCCTGCATCTGGGGCCAGCCTGAACTGTTGAAGGTGGCAATAGTGAGCCCGTGGCGCCCGCGTGAAGCGCGGCGGCCGCGCCGAGGACCAGCGAACGAAGCGGCGTCGCTGCCGGTGTGTCCAGCAAAGTCCTTCGACATACACCTCCCTGTTAGTCGTCAGGGTACATGCCGCGTCTGCGCCCGTGCAAGGCCGACCGCTGGCTAATTCGCAAGGCGCGGGCCCACGTGGTCCCCGCGCTGGCTTGGCGCCGGCGCCCGACGACGGGATGGGGGATTCCCATGGCACAGTGTGCACGGCAAAATCGGCGACGTACGCCTCCCTGTTCGCCGCCAAGTAACATGCCGCGTCTGCGCCCTGCAAGGCCGACCGCTGGCAAGCTCGCAAGGCGCGGGCGCATTTGGTCCCTGTGCAGACTTGGTACCGACGCCCGACGACGGGACGGGGGGTTCCCGTGACGCACAGCTGCTTTCCGAGCTGCTGGCAAAGGCCGCCCCAAGTAGATGCGAAGTTCAGTTCCAGCCAGGAACCAAATTCTGCGTCCAAGAATTCAAAGTCGGTTGCTTTGGTAAGCACCACAGCCCGCCAATCTCGTAGACGTCCCTCACGCATCGAACCGATCTCTTTGTCGCTCGATCTCGTAGTGCGTGGCAGAGGACGCTGGGGCCTGCGATGACGTTCAACTCCGTGGTCTGGTGGCAGTGCAGACTTGCGTACCTGCATCAGGTTGGCGTCGTCCTCTATCGGGCCACCGCCGTGATCCTCTGGCGGAGGCCTTGGGGCTTCGGGCTGAGGTGCGTCATCTGGCGTGATCAGATCCCGCTGCGCAACAATTGTGGCAGCGGAAGATGCGAATTGACGTGTCGCCCCAGTGACCAAGAGATCCACGCGGGCCTGGTGCGCTTGCTGAGCAGCCAGTGAGAGCCGAACGTTGCGAACTGCGCCGGGACGAAGAGTCAGAATCTCGTGCCACCTCGCGCGGCCTTCCTTGTATATGTCCAAGTAGCGCAGATTGTGCTTCCGTATTTTCTCTTCCGCATCGAAGAACCTGTGGAGGCATGGGCGCTTCGCGAGCTCTCGGGCCTGCTCGGGCGCGGGGGCGGGGCGACGTAGGTGGGGCCCTCCATGGTTCACAACTCGGCATAACATTGACACCACCACAGCCAATCGTCATGGCCCATCAGGTCGTCCCAGGCGACAACATCACCAACCCGGTGACTAGCGTATCCACTGGGATGCTGCTGAAAGCTGTCTGGGTCCCATTCAAAATCTGGATCTCCCGCGGCGTGTGGGGGGGGGGGGCGCCAGGTAGCGCAGCATCGGGCTGAAAGTGACAGACGTGGTCGTCGCCGATGTCATCACGCAAAACTGCCTGAGCTGCCAGGTGCGCCTCGACCGCAACCTCGGCGGGCTCTTGAAGGACGTTGTTGGAATGCTGAACCAGCGGCTGATGGCCGCGACGCCCTGCGCGGTCTTCGCCAGTACAAGTGTCCAGAACTGCCTGCGCTGTGGTGTTGTCGCCCGCGGTCACGTCGTCGCGGTGATGATCCGCCACGATGTGCGCGCCTAGTGGTAGGATGTCGCCATTCGGAGCCTGCCGCGGCATGTCTATGACGATGGCGAAGTAGCTGGTGCTGTCGAGGTTCGACAGCACAGGCCACAGGGGAGGCTGACGTGGGTGCTCGTGGTCGCCATCGCGGTCTTCAGACGGGGTCGCTGCGTCCCATGCCGTGGGTGTAGGCGGTGCAGTTGGTGCTGCTGCTGCTGCTGCAGGGGCGGCGGCCGTGTTGGGGCTCCGCTGCGTAGCCACCAATGAAAGTGCCTCGTTGAACCGACGCTTGAGCGAGCTAGCGTAGGTAGCCTCAGTGCCCGCCGTGACTGATGGAGCTGCATTGACAATCTGCCCCAGTCTTTCCATGGCCACTGCCACAGCCTGATCATCTCCTGGAGTCGGTGCGGCCGCCGTAGCGAGAACGGCAACGCGGGCGGCATGGACTTCCGCGTCGATGATCGCGAGCTCACTCTGCGCTTGAGCCAGCTCCTTCTGCTTGGAGTCCACTTGCGACTGCAGCAACCTGTGGGCCTCCGTAAGCACGCGGGCCTCGGTAGACTTCTGTCGCTGTCTGTCCAGCGATCGTCTTAATTAGTCATCTGGTGTGCGGGGCGCTCTCTCGGCTTCCTCGGCATCTCGCAGCTCTTCTTGGCGGCGACCACCAAGCCGCTGTTGTCGTCGAGGCCGAGCCTCCGCAGAGCGGACAAAGCCTTGCGGGAACGAGAAACCGCATCTGAAGCCGTGGGCGGCTCATCAGCAGGCTCGTCGGCAGCAGCGCGCTCTGGTCGGGCGCTACCTGCGCGAGGCGGTCGGCTGAACCGCCTGCCTGCTGGAGACCGAGCTGGCTGCCTGTCGGGCGGTGGGTTGGCGGGATCTTGCTTCCCAGCTCGATCTCGCCCGCAACGGAAGCAACGAACGTTGCTCGCAAACTTGCGACTATACCCGCACTAACGACTAGCCAGACACGCCCACCTGGGCTCCACTTGCACGGCATCGTTACCCTTCTTGGCCACAGGCGAAGCGGAGCCGTGGTGCTGTTCCAGCAACTGATGGGCAGCTTCCAATCTGAGTAGGTGACGTGCAGAACTGCGAGCCCTCCTCAATCGGCGATGCCATGGTGGGGAACCCGAGCGCGGCCTGCTGCCTGCAAGCGTGCCTCCAGCGCGCTGGCGTGCCGCCCGCCAGGGGGCGACCCAGGGCGCGGGGGGCGGCGGCGACAGGCCGCCGCGCAGGGGCCTATCGCGCGGTCGGCGCGGGCGGCCCTGCTGGGGGTGGGGACCTTCGACCCCCAGGAGGAAGAGGAGGACGAGGAGGAGGAGGGGGAGGAGGAGGAGGAGGAGGAGGAGGAGGAGGAAGAGGAGGAGGAAGAAGAGTAGAACTCGAGGCCGGGTCCGTCTGCCGAACCACCCGCCCGCCCGCCTTCTTCGTCCACGGCCAGGTCCCGCGCGGGGAAACCGGGGAAGTCGACCGCCTGTGGGCCCACCAGGGGGTGGCCCCCTCCTCCTCCACTCCTTGTCCTTGTCGTCCTCCTCCTCCTCCTCCTCCTCCTCCTTCTCCTCTCCCCCCCTCCTCCTCCTCCTCCTCCTCCTCCTCCTCCTCCTCCTCCTCCTCCTCCTCCTCCTCCTCTTCTGAATTATTCCTTCTGGGCATTTTCCTAAGGTGGAGGGCTCAGGGTGAAATCCAAATGGGCTTTTGCATCTCGAGAAGCAATCCGCCTCGTGATTCACCTCTTGCAGATTCGAACTTCGAGAATCAATCGAAACGGTATTTCAGATTTCACCCTAGGCCCTCCACCCGAAGAAAATGCTCGGTCCTTTCTGTTGTAAATTGAAGCCAGTCGGAAAGGCGGGGCCGGGCGTTTCGCCGGAGATTTCCTTACCATGCATGATCCTGAAGCTCATTTTGGTAGCAAGTTCACATGTGGAGAGCGGGCCGCTTCCAAAATGTGGCTCTCGCCTTAGCACCGCGCACGTTCGTCTTACAACGTTGCAAGAATTTCACGGATTGAGGGCGGGTGGTTTTCAAAATGAGACCCTCGCCGTAGCGCCGCGCGCAATAATTTCACGGATGGAGGGCGGGTGGTTTTCAAAGTGTGGCTCTCGCCTTAGCGCCGCGCGCATTCGCGCCATGCACATTCGTTTTCATATGCAAGAATTGTACGGATGGAGAACGGTTTCTTTCCAAAACGTGGTTCTCCGCTTAGAACCGCGCACATTCGTTTCATCATGTGCATCACACTCAAGGACTCCCAAGCGTAACGTACCAGAAACGGTTTTTTGAACGTTTCAGGATTGCCAGGGCGCAACAGTCATGTTAATGTGCGGTGTTGAAGTCCCAGGAGTGGTTTCTGGCACGATGCATGATCCTCAAGACGCAACAATCAGGTTGATTCGTGGCGTTGGAGTCCAAATAATTGTGTTCTAGCCCGCTTCAGGATCTCCAGGGAGGGAGGGAGGATCTCCAGGTGCAGGATGGGAGGCCGCGCGTTGTGGCCCCACGTTGATTAGCTGCCTGCGCCTCGGCGGAAGCGCGGAGACCGCAGCGGCGATGATGGCTACTGCTTGTCCTGACTGGTGGGACCACTAGCTGGCGCTCGGTCAATCGTTGCTGCTCTTGGGGGACCTGCGCTGCGCCGGCGGCCGCCTGGCGGATTTCGCAGGGCTGGCTGCGCGCCACATCGCGCCGCGATTCGTCGTGCAACTCCCGAGGATCCCCGACGAAGGGGCTCCGCGCCAAGCGCCTGCGACCTTGCATGAAGGCCGTCAATGCAAAGGCTGGCTGGTTTGACTACAGTGCGGAAGCCCTACGTCGCGTGCAACTTAGTATCGTCGACCAACTTGAGGGCTCGGCAGACTGGGGTCTCGACGGCGACGGCTCGCACAACTTCACCCGTCGGAAGTTTGGCGACCCCGGTGACATAACAACGAAGATGATGAGGAAGATGCTGACAAATATGACCAGAATAAGGTGGAGAAGATGTGCGAAATATGGAGGATCAGCAACATATGTTCAGGATGAGAAGGGGTAAAAGAAGAGCGAAAGGTGGAGAATGAGCAGGATGAGGATAATGGTGAGGGAGCAGAGGAGGGATACTGCTGCCCTTGCCGTCCCATACCTCCGACGACTCGGCTTCTTCAAGTATCAAGTAGACAACCGCAAGAGATCCTCACCTCTGTGGAAGGTGGAGAAGTACCAACTGCCTGGACAATTTCGGGGCAGAACATTATTATCACCGATGGGCGCCTCCTCCTCCTCCTCCTCCTCCTCCTCCTCCTCCTCCTCCCCGCAGACGTGGCGAGGAGTAATGCAGATCCGCGTACGACATCATTCCGCTGGACCCTCCAGCAGCCCTCGAAAGTGGCGACCGTTTCGTATTTCGCAGCCGCCCATAAACATGCCGAGGTGTACTTAGATCCCAGCAGCCCTCGAAAGCGGCGACCGTTTCGCATTGTGCAGCCCCCCACAGACATGGCGAGGTGTAATTTAGATCCGCGTGTGACGTCACTCCGCTTGACCCTCCAGCAGCTCTCGAAGGTGGCGACCGGTTCGCATTGTGCAGCCCCCCACAGACATGGCGAGGTGTAATTTGGATCCGCGTATGACGTCACTCCGCTGGACCCTCCAGCAACCCTCGAAAGTGGCCACCGTTTCGCATTGTGCAGCCCCCCACAGACGTGCCGAGGTGTAATTGAGATCCGCGTGCGACGTTACTCCGCTGGACCCTCCAGCAGCCCTCGAAAGTGGCGACCGTTTCGCATTGTGCAGCCCCCCACAGACGTGCCGAGATGTAATTGAGATCCAGGTATGGTGTCACTCCGCTGGACCCTCCAGCAGCCCTCGAAAGCGGCGACCGTTTTGTATTTCGCAGCCACCCACAAACATGGCGAGATGTATGTTTGAGTCGCGTACGACGTCACTCCGCTGGACCCCCAGCAGCCCTCGAAAGCGGCGACCGTTTCGCATTGTGCAGCCCCCCACACATGGCGAGGTCGAACCCAGATCCGCGTATGACGTCACTCCGCTGGACCCTCCAGCAGCCCTCGAAAGCGGCGACCTCGCCTTTCGCAGCCCCCCCACAGACGTGGCAAGGAGTAATGCAGATCCGCGTACGACGCCACTCCCCTGGACCCCCCAGCAGCCCTTGAAAGTGGCGACCGTTTCGTAGTTTGCAGCCCCCCACAGACGTGGCGAGGTGATATATATATATATATATATATATATATATATATGTATGTATATATAAATGTATATATATACATATATATATAGCTATCCGCGTACGACGTCACTCCGCTGGACCCTCCAGCAGCCCTCGAAAGTGGCCACCGTTTCGCATTGTGCAGCCCCCCACAGACGTGGCGAGGTGTAATTCACATCCGCGTGTGACGTCACTCCGCTGGATCCTCCAGCAGCCCCCGAAAGCGGCGACCGTTTCGTATTTCGCAGCCACCCACAAACATGGCGAGGTGTAATGTATATCCGCGTGCGACGTCACTCCGCTGGACCCTCCAGCAGCCCTCGAAAGCGGCGACCGTTTCGCATTGTGCAGCCCCCCACAGACGTGGCGAAGTGTAATTTAGACCCGCGTATGACGTCAGTCCGCTGGACCCCCCAGCAGCCGTCGAAAGTGGCGACAATTTCGCAGATCTCGGCCCCCCACACATGGCGAGGTCGAATCCAGATCCGCGTATGACGTCGCTTCGCTGGTCCCTCCAGCAGCCCTCGAAAGCGGCGACCGTTTCGTATCTCGCAGCCCCCTGGGGATGGCGAGGAGGCGGGGTGGCAGGCAGGCAGGATGCAGGGCAGAAGGCGGGGTGACAGGCAGGTAACGAGAGGCAGGAGGCAGGAGGAGGAGGAGAGGAGGAGGAGGAGGAGGAGGAGGAGGAGGAGGAGGAGGAGGATAGAGGATGGGGGAGGAGGAGGATAGAGGATAGAGGATAGAGGATAGGAGGAGGAGGAGGAGGAGGAGGAGGAGGAGGAGGAGGAGGAGGAGGAGGATGGGGGAGGAGGAGGAGGAGGAGGAGGAGGAGGAGGAGGAGGAGGAGGAGGAGGAGGAGGAGGAGAGGAGGAGAGGAGGAGGAGGAGGAGGAGGAGGAGGAGGAGGAGGAGGAGGAGGAGGAGGAGGAGGAGGAGGAGGAGGAGGAGGAGGAGGAGGAGGAGGAGGAGGAGGAGGAGGAGGAGGAGGAGGAGGAGGAGGAGGAGGAGGAGGAGGAGGGAGGAGGAGGAGGAGAGGAGGAGGAGGAGGAGGAGGAGGAGGAGGAGGAGGACCATCCCTTTCCAAACACAATACAACACACACATTCTGCCATCATATTTGGAGCACGCGCGGCCGCCCCGCGGCCACCTCATATGGTATTCTGCAGGGGCGGCCGGGGTGCCAGCAGGTCGCGCCTGCCTTCTGGGTGCAGGTGGTCGACCGACTGCTTTGACAAATCCATGGCTGCTGTCATCTCTAGGGGGAAAACACACATCTACCTCGCTTTTGACCACCCTCGCGTCCAAGAGATACCAAACGATGCCAAGTTGCAGCCTGTACTGGTCAGGCCGCTTGACGAGGAGGCGCGTGGTATGGCTTGGTTTTGCCTGGAAGCGAAAGCGGGGTAGGTAATGTACGCTCTGAATCTCGCCTTTCTGTTTCCGATGGGCCGTCGAAACCTCCAAATGGCTCCAAAACTGGCCAAGAGAGCGCCAAGCCGGGCCCAAGAGGCTGCGATACCGACCCCAAGAGTGCCCCACGCGCGCGGTGGCCAGCAGCCGCAAGCATGCGTTGGGGCGTGCGCAATTGCTGGCGTCGCAACAGTTGCGGCGTACGCAGGTGGAGCCCCCAGTAGCTGGCGCACTTGGCGCGCCTGGCACGCTTGGGCTTTCAGTGTGCCTGGTGCATCTGGGACCCGTAGCTTCTGCGGCGCTCTTACGCGATATGCTGACACCCGGGTGCTACTAGTGTGTTGGGAGGGTGGGTGGGAGTGAGCAAGACGGCTTGCGGGCGGGTGGGTAGCTTGAGCCCTCTCCCTACCACCTCCCCTGGGCGTGGGAGGGGGGGTGCGCGAGGCGCTAGAGCGTCCAAGATGGCTCCAGGAGGGCCTCAGAGACCCCAAGATGGCCTCCAAGATGGCCCAAGATAGCCGAACATGGTTCAGGATAGCCTCTGACATACCTTTAAGAAGCCCCAATGGACGGATCCAAGTGCCTCCCGAGCCCTCCAATGACCCCCCCAAGAGGCAAGCATGGCTCCGAAACCTCATGGAAGTGGATGAGTTTTGCCTTTTCACTTTTCCGCTTCCGATGGGCCTCGGAGGCCTCAAGATGGCCCCAACATTTTCCAAAAGAGCACCAAAAGGGACCCAAGAGGACCCCAAGACGGCCCCAATCGCGTCCAAGAGTGCCTCATGAGCGCCCCAAAAGAGCCCCAAAACGGCCCCCAAACTCAATTTTGAGCCTCTGACGGGGGGGCCTGCATCCCTGGGCCCCTTTGTTTTTGAGCAGTGAAGAGGGCTCCAAATGGCTCCGCGAGGAGCCCAAGAGAGACCCAAGATGGCCCGAAGAGGCCCGCGATGAACACATTTCCAAGGCGGCTTCTGCACTGCATGCATCTACACTTCCCTGATCGAGGAACCTCGTCTGGCGATCTGCTTCGGGTGGGCCGGTGGGGATGCGCGAAACGTCAAACATGAAACCTCGCCGTTCCAAAAGGCTGCTGGCACCATCCCTGCACTCGAAGGCAGCTGGGGCTGTACAGCCCCCCCGCAACGTCCGCTGTCGCCGGGGAGTGACAAATGCGCCCTCCAGGGTGGAGGAGGAGGGGGAGGAGGAGGATGAAGAGGAGGAGGAGGAGGAGGAGGAGGAGGAGGGGAGGAGGAAGACGAGGAGGAGGAGGAGGATAACGAGGAGGGGAAGGAAGAGGAGGAGGAGGAGGAGGAGGAGGAAGGGAGGATGATGATGATGAGGAGGAGGAGGAGGAGGGAGGAGGAGGGGGAGGAGGAGGAGGAGGAGGAGGAGGAAGGAGGAGGAGGAGGAGGGAGGAGGGGAGGAGGAGGAGGTGGAGGAGGAGGAGGAGGAGGGGGAGGGGGAGGAGAAGGAGGAGGAGGAGGAGGAGGAGGAGGAGGAGGAGGAGGACGAGGCCCCCCGTAACGTCTGCTGTCGCCGGGGAATCACAAACGCGCCCTCCAGGGTGGAGAAGATCCCCCCCTCGCAGGCGACGGCTGAGCTAGGCGGCGGCGGGCGCCGCCTTCTGCGAGAGGGTGTCGCGGATCGAGTGCGCCGTGCGCCTGGCCAGCGTCCTGGCGGCTCACCGTTCTGGCCACCGGGGGGCCCTCCGAGCGGATGGCCTTGGCCCCCCTCTGCCTTGAACTCTTGCTGTTATTTCCAACCCTCCTGTGCTTTGGGTCCTCGTGAACCCGCGGCGCCGCGCGTCTCTTCCTCCTCCTCCTCCTCCTTCCCCTCTTTTCTCGTCCTTTCACCACTCGCCATTCACAGTCTGCCCCGAGCATGCTCGCAGACCAACAGCAAATAGGTGCCTTGCCGTCGAGTTTCAGGGGTCTTACTCGATGCAGCGAAGAAGCCTGGACTGTGGCACCTGAAAACACCAAAGGGACCGAAGGAGCGTGGACGGGCCAAAGGTCTGAAATCTTATGCAGAAGCCCTGGGACTTCTCCTTTCCGCAGCTTCCAGAGGTCTTTGAGGGAAGACGGGGTAGGGTGGCACGGCCCCTTGAGCTTAACAGCCCTCGTGGTGCCCATATACCCACATCTCCCACAGAAAATAAAGGGCACTTCGGGCTTGGCTATCACTGCAGCCTGCATGTCGTGAAGAAAAGAAAAGGTCTCGCAGCCGTGGTGAACAATTCCTCCAGGGACGGGCACAAATCAAAACACCTGGTGTTCGCCAAAAGTCGGGCCCCAGCTGTATGGCACTGCCTGCACCTCCAGCGGACTCCGCCCCAGGTTTGTGTGGTCTGCCTACCGCTCCAAAGAGATCTTTCAAGAGCGGGCACTCCACTTGGACATGAAGCATCTGTATGGCATAAGGTATTTTTTGAGCATATGTGAATGCTTTCAGATCAGCCTCGCACGTATTGTTGGATCTTGCCGCCACCTTGGCATGGTGATCAGCCGACACGTTGTCTCTGATATGGCAGAGGTCCTCTCAACTGGTGGCTTGCTCTCCTTGACGGTGGGCCTTGACCTTAACGCAGAGAAAGGAGGGCTTGCCAGTTATTCTCCAATACCCAGCGCGCGGCGACGAGTGGCGCTTGGCCAACAAGTGGTTCGAGACCCCCCGCGCGAACGCAACGCAGTCCGAATGCAGGGCAGCTCGTGGGTCACAAGGCGAGGGCTCCTCCAGAGAGTCCGATGGGGGCCTCCAGAAACCTTTGAAACATACAGGCAGCATGGTGCTCGGCGGCCGAGGAGGTATGCGGGGTCCTGTCTGGCACAAGTCCACATATCCCCTTGGCAAGGTGCCCGTGGGCCGTCACTTCCGCCGCCGCCCGACCTGCTCGAGCTACCCCGGGAATTGCTCCGTCGTAGCAACTCCCATTACTATCGTACCTACCAATCCAATTGAGGACGAACTGTCCACAGAAACCGCTGGCGGTGAGAAACATGACCTCGGGCTCCTCCTCGGGCTTTTCCGAAAACAGAGGCGAGGGCATCCAAAGGGAGGATAAGAGGCGATCTCCTTCCCCGCAATGGAGGGCCATGGTCCTAATTTCATCGTCCTGGCCTTCCCGTTCAGCATCGAAGCTCGGGCGCTCCCAGGCTCCGTGGAAAATCGCGCCGGGTTTCCCGCGTCTTGGGCAGTTCTCATCAGTCTGGTACCCCATCTGTAGAGTGTCAGACCAGTGGGACATCTTCCATAATAGACCTGCACCAGCAATCCTTTAAACTGCTTGGGGAACGTCTTACTATTTAGCAGTCTGCGCGGGCCCGGGGACCAAAGCCCATGGCCGCGAATCTCCTGGGCCCTGGGGCCAGCGAGCTCTGCTAGATCCCTCGTCGCCGCAGACTGTAAACATCGCTTTTTCAAATCCCTGACAAAACTAACTGCTATGATGCTTGGGCGGCGCGGCAGTCAGATGATGATGCGCCCCATCTGCCCCAGCAGAAATCCCAGGATTCAGAGCTTCCCATCCAGCCGCCTCCACCCGCCAATGCGCGCCATACAACGGCCCCGAGGCCCCCTTCCTCCAGGAGGTGCCGGGCGCATCCTTGTACTTGTCAATGGTGATGTGAGAGCTCCTGGGCAGCTCCTGAGCAGCGCAGCCAACTCGTGGAAAAAAGGGTGCGCGATGTGGGCGCAAGCGCCGCGGGCGCCCATGTCGCAGCTTTTCCAGCGGGGCGCGGCTGGCGAGAGCGGCCAAGGATGGGCCGGGGGGCAACGGTGCAGGGGTGCCCTTGTGAAGGTAGCCCACCCTTACTATGCGGGTTGACTGTGGGGCCACCCCCTCGCGTGAGATCTGCGTCCGACTCGCGGGGGAACGGGCTCCAACCGACGCCCAGCGCGCCCCCCAATAAACCTCGGGCCTTGGCCCCAGCTTGTCTCGAGACCAATGTCTCCGACAGTGTGCGACCGAGCGCCTCGCCACCATATGTATCAACGGCTTGTATACCTGCAAGATGAACCCTCGCCTTTGCATGCTGAGAACCTTCCGCCCCTGCCAACTTCCGCGTGCGGTGCTTGATGCAGGTCAAACGTTTTCTTCTGGCTCGCCCATGTCCTGCTTTGGCCCGGTGCGATCCTGGTGAGAAATCTACGCCCAAGTGGCCAACTGTCACTTGCGTCCTCCCCGCAAGATCTCGAGGGAGCTTTGCAGGCGGCCGCAGACGGCATAGACGTCCCAGCGCACGTGGATGCGTCAAAGGCCAGCGGCACCACCATCAAGTCATGCGCCAGCTTGGCCAGGACTGTGGCCTCCTGGTACATGGACTGGACGCGAAAAGAAAAGGATGGGGTCGCCACATATTCAGCCCAAAGTCATTAATGCGCAGCGTGGGCGTGCTCAGGCCGACGCCCGACGAGTCCTCCACGTTGCGCTCGTGCCAAGCATTGACACAAGGTAATGCGCATATGCTTCCACCTAAAACGTCGCCGTCACCGCGCCCGCGTGCCCGTTATGATATCTCCCTTCGCAAACATTCGATTTGAACCCAACCCATCTAATGCAACTTCTCGGCCACTGAAAAGAGTTTTGGCTGTGCTGTATTGCTGCAATTAGGTGCTCCACATCTTTCGCAATCGGCCGCGCCCGGTCGTGCTGGACGTGCTCGTGCAACCGTCTGAGGTCCCACAGCACCGAAAAATGTGCCACCCATCGCTGGCCTGTGCTTCTCCTCGTGCTGCCTGTCTCCAAACGGCATCAAGAGGTCCTCGTCCTGGCCCATGCCGAAGGATGGATGATGCGACAAACCTCGCTGCCACTTCCTGAAATCCCGCGCTACCGACTTCCCATGAAGTCGGACCATGCTCGTGAAACACCCTATTGGGCGCCCCCCCGCTCAGGTTTCCTGAACAACGCTGTGATGGCCTGCTGCAGTGACGTCGGAGCGTTGGCCACCATGTTCATGATAGTATGAATCCCTGTGGGGACTTGCATCGCGCTGGTAGATAATGGACTGTACTTTGGGTGGGCCCCCTCAATGGCAATGGCTTTCGCCTTGAACTTGGGCGGGATTCCACGAAGTAATCCTGGTCGAACTCGGGGCGGTGCTCTGGCAGGCGCCTCGATATTAGTACTCAGACTTGGTTGAGCACCCCAAGCTCTTGACCCTGTTCGCACCAGCTGTTCCAAGACACCGTGCGCGGGCGCCGTGCTGCCCCCATCTCCTCGGGCACGCAGCTCCTCCGGATATGGAACTTTGGACTTGGTGTACCTGTGTGCTTGACTGCTGCCGGCGCGTAGCGCGCTCTCGCGCCGCTCCTTCCAGTCGATGAGCTCCCGCATCTTTGCCGCGCGGACTTCGTGCTTTCCTACTGCCGAGAGAAGCTGGCGCCAGGCGTCGAGAACTGCGCCCAGATCATCCTCGCCACTGGTAGGCCGGGGCGTCCTCGATATCAAGATATTCAGTATGCCTTGCCAACCTTCGCCTGCCAGGCCAATTGCTCGCGGAGAGGACCTCCGCGATGTTCAACGCGTTTCGTAGCATGGATCAGTTTCCAGAGATGCTCAGGGCGGCTTCCTGCTCGGACCTTCCTTGACTGGGATCGTAATTCTTGGGGCCTCGTCCATGGCCAATGGGTGGCCGCGGCAGGAAGCTTCCTCGCGCTTTGCTTGGTAGCAAGACTGGTCGCCAGGGACCTTCTCTGAACCTTCAGAAGGGGCCCCACCCGCCCTCCGATGCGAGGGGGGAGGGGGGGGGGGGGGGCATTTTTGTTTTCTGCCGCAGCTCGGCCCAGGCTTTCGCGACCCACTCCTGGTACACCTCGTCCAAGAAGTTTGGCCCTTGACTCCTCTGGTTGCCCAGGGGCGCGCGGGAACTCTCGTCGTCGCCGTGCCGCCCCAGAAATTCGTAAACTCGTTCGTTGAACCCATCGTAACTGGGAGGTTCCAGCGTGGGTCCTTGGGCCTTGGTGGGGGGCGTTGCCGCTCTAGCCAAGACTTCCACCATGGCGTCTTTTGTGGCTCTACCCGTGAACATCTCGACGGGTACATGGGGTCCAGGAGTGAGGGGATCACCCAAGACAGCATGGACACCTCCTGCTTGAACCTCAAGAGCCCTGGACATGAGGAGGAAATCTAGGTTGCTTGGCCCTTCGCCCCCGTCGCGCGCATGCGGGCGCCCCTCGACCTCGAACCTGGAGCCCCCCTGCAAGGTGCCCATGTAAAGTCCTTCTCTGGGCCCCCCAAGTTCTAGATTCCAGCCACCTCCTGCAAGAAACGGGAGCCCTTGTTCTAGGATGTGCCGCCCGGACAAATCTAGGATCTCGACATTGCCCCCTGTCATTGTTATGCTATCCTGCACACGGACAGGGCGCAGAGTGATGGTGCCGAGCTCTGCGGCGCGCAATAAGCAACGAACCAGGTGTCGCTCTCGGATGCATGCTTCACTCCTCGACGTTCATACATCGAGGTACCTTCGGACAAGGATGCAGGCTCCACCGCGGCAATTTCCTTGATCGTTGACACCTGGCCCTGCCCAGAACGCACGCCGCCCGCGCTGCGGCATCCAAAGTCCTGTGCTGATCTGGCACGCCTTGGACAGCTCGTGCTCCTGTGCAAAAAAACAACATCTGCCGTGCAAAACAAGACGCGAACTTCCGCCGTTTTCCAACAATTCCCGTTAAAAAATGACAAGCTGTATGGCCTTGCCTGCACCAGCTGGCTTGTTCTCGCTACCCTGGGGACACAGGCCCCGGTGCTGATTCCTCATGCGGATCGTCCCACCTCTGGCCTCCAGGGTGCGAGTGCCGACTTGGGTCGGCACGTTGAGCCGCCCCTTTCTCGAAGGCCCTCGCCGGGTCACGCTTCTGAGATTCGGTGATGCCTGCTTCAGTGAATGCAACCAATATCTCGTCATCCACCTGCATGAGAAATATATGCTCCGTCCCCCTCATGTCCTCCTCCTCCTCGTTCTCCTCCTCAAGAAAGACAAACAGGGCGGGCAGCGGGCGGGGTTGGTTTGTCTGGTGCCAACGCTCTGACAGCGTCACACTGCGCCTGAAGCTTGGCTTTGGTGGACTGGTCCCAGATGTCGGAAACATAGGCTGCCAGGGAAGTGAAGGGGGTGCGCGCAGGGTCGGCGAGGGCCTGGGGTATGGTGGTGGGGACGGCCAGGTCTGCCGCCTTTCTCGCCTCCTCCAGCTCCTTATCCTTCTCCTCCAACCCCTGCTGCAACTCCTCCAACTCATCTTGTAGATCTTCAGCCTGCGCAGTGAGTCTGTCCCTTCGAGCTCTGACACCAGAAACAAGTCTCCCACGACGGGCAGTATCCTGCTCTCATGTTTCTGTAACACCTTGGAGGTCGGGGCGGCCATCTGCTTCTGTTCCTGGTGGGACTTCCATGCTGACGCCAACGCTGCGGACACTTCATCAGAGAAAGGTTTGTTTTTTCTTGAGAAATGTTGGTTTCGCGTTCCGATGACAGACGGCCAGGACGCCCCAGCTCCACTCGATCATTACTTGCGCGCTGCCCACGTCCCCACTCTCCTCCACGCCCTTTACATTTACCACCTCCAGCTCCTTTAACACCCTTCCCTCCGTTGCCTCCCTTACCCGTTGCCTCCCTTACCGTGTTCTCCTCCTTCATCTCCAGGGTTATGGTACGGCAGGTCCGTGTCGTGCCGACTTCGGCGTTGGTTTCTGACACCGCGGGGATCGTTCAACCTTGAACGATCGGCCGTTTTCGAAACGCCCAATCGTTCCACATCGAACGATTCTGGGTCGCCCGCGGCGTTCAAAGTTGAACGCCGCTGGCGGGGTCGCCGCCGGTCGACACGACACGAACCTACCGTACACTCAGGGACAGTGTTGCCAGGCACCTTGGAAAGGACGGTTTCTTGCAGGGGCAACTTCGGGATATCTGCGCCACAATGATAACAATACGTAAAACCAACCGTATTCTTCTTGCACCCGCACGAACTGCACACTGGGCCCACGGCGTAACCACCGCCCGACATGAGGGGACCCGAGAAACCTTCGGGTGAGCTATTTGTGCACGCCTGTTGATGGTTGAAAAAATGCGTCGGGCGCCCCCTCGATGGTTGTCGTACGGCTGCGGGAAACCTCCAAGCTCGAGCACCCGCGACACGGGGTTCGAACTTGAGCCAACGTGGCTACGGACTCTCCTCCTCCTCCTCCTCCTCCTCCTCTTTCTCCTCCTCTTTCTCCTCCTCCTCCTCCTCCTCCTCCTCCTCCTCGTCCTAAACACGGGGCGCAGCCCTCACACGGTTTGTGGCCCCATAGGGAGCTCCACCGAAGGCCCCAGTGGCACAGGCCGCATGGCGGCCCCGCCCCATCTTAACACACCCAGCACACGGTTCGTGGCCCCAGTCGCACAGGCCGCATGGCGTCCTCGGGTTATTTCGGGACACCCCTGACGCGTTTCGCGGCCCCCTAGGAAGCTCCACTGAAGGCCCCAACGGCACAATCCGCATGGCGCTCTCGGGTCGTTTCAGCTCTTCTCTCGCACGCGCCGCGGAAGCGAGGGTAAGCAGAAGCGCCCAAAAGTGGAGACAAACGAGCGCGAGAAGCCCCCAAAGTGGAGACAAAATGGCGCGGCACACAAGGGACCAAAAGGCGCGGCGGCGAGAGTAACCAGAACCGCGCTGGAATTAACAGAGAGGGGCGGAAACAGATGCATGCGGAGGAGGGTGAACGGGGGAAATGTTATCAATGATTGCGCGCGCGTGAGTGCAGAACATCGAGCGTGCTTTTGACGTGTTTGGCGAAGCGCCCAGAGGTGCCGTCAAAGTACTCTAATGTATTGAGTGGTCCCATGCATAGTTGCCTCGTTTTGCGAATGGGTGGGGTTCTTCCCCGACACACACACACACCAGAACTTGCAATCTCACGTTGTAGTGCCATCTCTCGCTTGCACACTACCCTCGCGTAGTGAAAAGCAAGCAATGTCCGATCGCGCGCGGAGTCCGCACGCGCCCCACAAGTGGACACGGCACAAGAACCAGTGCAGTAAAACTCACCCCTCTGCAGAACGAAAATTGCGGGCAAGCTGCAGCGAGGCCATTCGAAGCTACCTGAGTGGAACATTCGAATGTCATGACAACTCACACCGGGCATTTCTGCCGTTTTCGGTCTCCGGCAAGGCTGAACCTAAACGGTGTTTTTGGTTTTCGTTTTGGTTTCGTTTTACGAAATCGAAGCGAAAACGGCCCACGAAATCACCAAACACACTCTTTAGGTCCAGCCCTGGTCTCCAGGGGCCCTTGCCAAGCCCCCGGGCCGTCAGAATCAGCTCGGGACGAGGAAGCGCTCCGAGGGAAGAGGTCCAGACCCACAGCGTCGCATGTCTGGGAACTCCGCCCCGCTTGCTCTTCCTGCTTCTCGCTCCTCATCTCCTCATCTCCTCCTCCTCCTCCTCCTCCTCCTCCTCATCCTCCTCCCCCTCTTCCCCCTCCTCCTCCTCCTCCTCCCCCTTCCCCTCCCCCTCCTCCCCCTCCTCCTCCTCGTCCTCCTCGTCCTCCTCCTCCTCCTCCCCCTCCTCCTCCTCCTCCTCCTCCTCCTCCTCCTCCTCCTCGGCAATCTCTTTCTTCTTCCTGCACCTCGTCGTCGTCGGCGTCAACCTCCAGCTCCTGCAGCTCCTCTTCCATCTCCCCCTTCTCCCTCCTTCCTGCACCGAGGCGTTACCACATCTGCTGCCCTAGTGTTCGTGAAATCTGCCGATTTCGTCCACCTGTTCATGACTTCGGCCGATTTCGCCCACCTTAACTTACATAACACGTTCCAGTTTAGGGCAGATGCGGGCAGACCAAGTCGGACTGACGACATCCACCACTGCACCTCAGGCACTTCCCTTCTCTCCTGCACCACCGCCTCCTCCCTCTACTGCCCCTTTCCCCACCAAAGCTGGGAAAATAGTTCTTCGCTCGATGGGAACATATGTTCCCGCGAGACGCAACAACGGTTCCCCGATCGGTCCGAACATCTTTCCCGCTCGACGTATACATCCGTAAAGGCTTCGCCCCCTGCCGCCGGCGCCCTCTCTATCATAATGGGCTATGTCAGGGCTATGCTGGAATTCTTTTGCGCCGTTGCGAAACGATGTCGGAACCTCCTGCGAGGGCGATTGGTAAGCGGCAGACTCAGGTTCCGAACGTATTGTTGAATTCCGTACTGTTATTCTCGAGATCTCTTTCGTTCCATGTATTGGAGCAACGATTCGGACTGCTTGAGGCTACGTTGGGAAACATCGCGTGGCTTTGGCTGCCCTTTAGGGATGCCTCTTGGAAGCCTGTTAAGGCGGCTTGGCAGCAACTTGGAGCCCTCTT